AACTTTGAAATCACAATGAAGATCCAGCAGCATTCTTGTTTTACTGGGTAGTTCTGAGTTTAAATTCCTATCAGTGAATTAGACATCTGACTGCAAAGCCAGAGGTTAGGAATTTAGTTCCCTGCTGTGCATCCCAGTAAACCACTTCTGAATAGTCTCTACCTGGGAAACTCTGAAAAGGACCACCATAAATCAGAACTGACTTGATGGCACATTATTATTATTATTATCATCATCATCATCATCATCATCATCATCATCATCATCATCATCATCATCATCATCATCATCATCATCATCATCATCAGGGACTCCCTATTTGGAAAAAGCAGAAGGCCAAAGGTACCAGGCTAAGGCTCACACAACTGATATTTTTTAAAAATAACACCTTTAAAAGACATATATTATCTCTGTAGGAGATCTGGTTTCAAATGCCTTTAGAATATCTGTGGAAACTTACTCTTGCCTTGCCTGTCTTTTGCCCCAGCTTCTGATGGAAACCCAAAACAGACAAGACAGAACAAAAGGACATAAGAAATTCTGAGTTCCTTTACTAACTTTTAGAATACAAATAAAGTGATCAAAATAGTTTCAATGGCAAAGATGGTTATCCACAGTTTCAGGGAAGCAAGCTTACTGTATTTAGAAATCAAACAGATGCCCAATTAAGCTAGAATGGCTTGATATAAACCAGTTTCACTCAGGATTTCAATGGGACCATGTTGCATTTTACATTTCCTGGCTTTGTATTTGTAAACCAAACAACAAGACACAGAGAATGAACACATTACATGGCAAGCAAGTTTCCCACTGAAATGATGTTCAGTAGGATTTAGTTCAACACACTCATTGGAACATTGTACAATTGAAGCTGTTTTCCCCATAATGTTAACAAATGAAAACCAGAATTGGTTTATGTTAGTTTATGTTCATTTGTTAATGTTAACAAATGAAAACCAGAATCTGGCCAGAATTGATTAATTACATCTGTCTGTGTATCTCTATCAGCACATTTAAGAAGTCAGGACAGGCCTTTACTATCCTGTACCAGTCACTTGACTCAGCAGCCAAAATCCTGTTACCCAATGTAGTTAATTGCACTTGAATAGGCTCACTGAATTAGTGGAGATTTGGTGAGCCAGTTCCTCCATAAGTTCAGTTGATTCAAAGGGGCCTACTGCAGCATAGTAAATCAAAATTAAGAGTAGACCTATTAGAATCAATGGAACTTATGGAGGAGTTCACTCACTAAATCCCCATTGACTTAATGGCCATACTTTAGTGAAATTTACTACAGGACTGTGGCCAGTGTGTGATAGCAGATGCCTTTATTTGCAGCAACTTGTCCCTGAAATTTATGTCAATGGAATTATGCTGATTAAACATGTAATAGGATTCTGGCCATAGTAACATCATCAACTCAAGCACTCATTCACCCTTTCAAACACCCTTTCAGTCACCTTTATGAACAGTAACATGTAAATTAAGTTCTAAGGTCAGTAACATTGTTCAAGCTCTACCTAGACCATTTGATGAGATTTTTGTATTTACAGAATCCCTAGTTTGCCAAGGAAAGATTGTGTGGGACTGTCAAATATATGAAGATTGCAAGTCTATAAAAGTTATTAGAGCTCATACATTTTCACTGCCCACATATTCCTGTGTTTGTCATCTAGGCACACTAGTAGGCTGAAAAGGAAGTAAACACTCTCATCCAATTTAAAAATACTCCTAGCCCAATTATGGAATTGATCCAGTGTTCACATAAGGTTTCCATAAATTCCTCTAGCTAATTGTAGCTAACTGATAAAGTGTCAGGACTTATCTCAGTTGTACAACCAGATGCTCAGGACCAAGATGCATCCCGGTACCTCATCAATTAGCCACTGCATGTTAAGCACATCTAACATGAAGACCAACTAACTACTCAACTTCAAACTCCTGTGGTTTGAATAAGGACAACAGCTTCTTATCTTACTACATGTTAACTTGTTCATCTGTGTAGATTTATCTACACCCAACTCTTGTTTCTTTTATGACCACTGATCAAGATGTTTTCTCTGTGGGTGTTTGCAGTTACATTTCCGCTAACTTGGCTGAGAGGTTAAACTATTTTTTATAAGTGGATTAAGCAAATATTAATTCAGCTGTTCATAATCATACATACATTAGCTTGCTTATCTATGCTACAGTATCCTTGATACTTCTTAAGAAACTTTTACAAAAACTATCCTTAAAATAATAATTTGCTAGTACCTTTTTCATTTCAATTCTTCCAGAAACAGCACACACATGTGTCAACTGAGGCTACACTGTGTTCATGAATGAAATGCGTTGGAGTCCATGCAAAATAAAACTTGTTAGTCTTTAAAGTACCAGAAGACTCTTTTAAGAGATTAGCAGGATCTCACAACTAGTCAAACTTTCTTGAAATCATATTAGGGCAAGAAAGCAGACAGGGTTTTTGGTTTGTTTACAGAATTCTCATATGAGGTAATGTTATGTGTTCAGGCTGCAGTTCTTGCCCTGGGCAAAAATACTAAGACACCTGCTGCTGAGCATACTAGGCAGAGTAACAATAAACAGGTACCAGTCCAAAACAAATTTACTATATTATTCTATCTCCTTATGAAGAGCTTCTTATTCAAGATCCTATACAGTATTATTGTATAGCTGGTTGCATAACTCTGTAAGTTAGGTATCTGGCTGCGAGTCAGAGGTTGGGAGTTTGATTACCCACTGTGCCTCCTATGAGTAGAACCAGCTAATAGTGGTTCTACTCACAGGATTTGAACCTTGGACAAGCTGCACGGTCCTAGATTGCCCCCCCAGAAGAAGGGAATGATAAACCCCTTCTGAGTATTTCCTTTTGGGAAAACCCTGAAAAGGGTCTCCATAAGTTAGAACTGACTTGACAGCACATTATTATTGTTATCAAATAGACAGGAGCTACATTTGAGAAGCATGTTCTGGAGATACGTTTAGTTCTGTCAGGTACATACCCTCTCCCATTGAAATGATTCCCCCCAGCCTTCTGTGACATGGAGAATGGGGTGCACTAACTGCACATGAATGGAGATTGTATTCCCTCAAGCCAAAGTAACAGGAATGTTCTTTTTTTCCCCACTCACAAAAATGATTTATGTAACATGCACTATCTAAGCATCACTCTGTAGATCTTTTCTCTTGACTGTTCTCTGATCAGGTTTGTTTCCAGGAAAAGAAACACCAGTATCTAAGCTGTCATCTCAGCATCAGTTCAAAAGCAAAGTTGGTTTTGTCTGTTGTTTTTGCTTTTTGCACTCCACAAACATTGGCAATATGTATCCTTAGTGGCACATAAAAAGAAAGGAGCTGTGGCATTCAAGATGTAAGGTTCTCTGAGGCATCTAACTAGCCATTACTGGAAGCACAGCACTTGACTATGTAAATGTTGGTCTCATCCAGAAACCTTTAAAAAAATCATAAAGCTCAAAGACCTCAAAGCATCCATAAGCACTGCCTAGTTCTTCCGCCCTAAATAAATAGCACTTTGGAATCATGGGTTAAATCCTCTTATTCACCCCCATAACAGTAGAACATTTAACAAACATGGCAAGTCAATGTTTATGTGGGATGTAAAGCCCAGATTCAGTAGGTCTGCTCTAGTTGGGACTAACAACCGGATTTAGCCCAGTACTTCCAAAATGAATCTCTCTATCTACGCTGCCTTCTCACTACTAGCACTTCAGCGTGGCCTGTTCATAAGACATCATCATCCACACCATTAAACATTGCATGGTCAAACATTAAGAATTAACAAAAAAATGTACTGTACATAAAATGCCTGATTCCCTTAATAATTTCCTAGACATCAAACTTCTATAAGGTTAAGCCACATGCGTCTCCCACCAGTTCTTGATTTCTAACTAGAGCTCGGCCAAACAAGTTTTAAAACGAGACACCTTCTTGCCTAGAAACCTGCCTTCCTAGTCTACAATGTACAGGAGATCTAATCCTTTTGGTTTCACAGAAAGGCACTCCTGAAGGGCTCAGGGGCACTCTCAGCTATTCCAACTTTAGACGAATCTAACTTTTAGCCTGGCATTCCTTCAGGGGAGCACGTTAACAAGGGGTCTACTCTCCCACTTAATTCAAAGTCTCTCTTCAAAACCACCCCGTATCGTAGGTGAAGAGAGGAGACAGTAAATCCTCCAAACTCATTCTGGCCACCGCGGGGTGTGTGAGGAAGGGAGGGAAGAAGGGAGCTTGCCCCACCTCAAATCCTAAACTTGGGAGCTCCTTAAAAAACGAGCCCCAGATCCACAATCCAGAGGGATTATTCGTAGTCCTTGACCCTCAAGATTTCTGAAGACTTGGCGAACAGCAGAAATCTGGTTACTCAGGTCAGAGTCCGACCCCCTTCCCCACGACTCACCACCCTCCCTTCCTGGCTCCCAAAACTTACTCCGGGGTTGAACCTCAATCAACATTCAAGGCCGGCTTCCCACCCACCCCATTATTATTCCTCCTCCCACCAACTTCAGAGTCGGCCCCCTCAGCCCCAAAATCCTAAATCACCGCCCGAAGACCCCACCTCGGGAGTAGGGCTGAGGTGACCGGAGTGGGGTGGGGGCTTCTCTTTATCGGCTGGCATCTCTCGGGCCAGGCACGTTCAAGGCCGCCCCCTAAGCGACCTCTCACCCTCACACACACACACACGCGCGCACATACCACATACACAAACACCCCAGCCTCCCTCGCTCAGCCCGGGAGGGGGGGCCCACGCCGTGGTGTGGACGCTTCCCTCCCCCAAGCCGCCGAAGCAGAGGCGACCCCTGTCCCGCTTCCTCAGCCCCACAAGCCGCTGCCCCGCAAGTCCTCCTCTTCCCCCCCCCGCCGCCTCCTCCCCGGCGCTTTCGACGCCCTCCCAGCCGCAGCCTCCTCTGCCCAGCAGCGCCGCCGGGCCCCCGAGAAGCGCGGGCCGCGATGCCCTTCTTCCGCCCTCCCTCCCAACGCACCGTGTGGGAATGCAGGCTCTGGCTCGCCTCGATCACCGCCGTCAGCGGCACCGTGTCGTCCAGCAGCACTTTGCCCGCCGGCGGCTTCTCCATGAAGGCCATGCCCTCCCTCGCCGAGCCGGGGCCAGGAGAACCCCGGCGCCTCTCCTAGAGCCTCCACCGGCGGCGGCGGTTCCGCGCTTGGCTTCTCTCCTGCCCGCCCGCCCGTCTCTGCTTCCCTCCCTCTCTCCCTCCCCAGCGCCGACCGAAGAGAAGCTGCTGGAGCCGCCGCTTCGGCTGCTGTCAATACGCGAGCAGCCAGCCAGCCAGCCGAGGTCGGCCGCCTCTGGGTCTTAAATCCCAAAGGGTACCCCGGTCTGGGGCCGCTCTCTCTCACTGGCACAGCAGGCCTATTCCCCCCCCGCCGCCGCCCCCGCCACGGCAGCCGGGCCAGCAAGACCTCAGGCAGGAAGCCTGTGTGGAGGCTTTGCAGGCTGGCTGTGGAGGGAGCAAGGCCAGGGGCGGGGGGAGGAGGGGGAGGAGGAGGGGAAGGGGGGCGTGGAAAAGCGCCGAAAACAGCCCTCTTCTTCCCTCACAAATCAACACTACTTGTTGTGGGTCGTCAAGTCGCACCTGACTCAAGGGCGACCCTAAGGGGTGTTTGATATCTAAGGAGGGGTTTTGCTATTGCCACCTCCATCGCCTCAGTTGCCCTGGCCCAGCGCGGATTTGAACCTGGGTTTCCTGAGAATTATAGCTATTGCGTCATACTGCCTCTGCATCCGCGACGACTTCTGCATGGCTTATCCACGTTGGACCGAGCCCAGTTCTTCAACAGCCAGTCTTGGGTGGCATTAGCTCTCCAGGACTGCAGGATGCTGTGTCAGCTGCAGGATGCACTAATAATGCTCAGCAGTGGAAGCAGGGGATGGTGGTGTATTCATTTATTTTATTTGATTTATATACCGCCCATAGGGCAGCCAAAGCCACTTTGGGTGTTTTACAACTAGACAAAATAATAAAATAACAAAATAAAATGACAGCAATAAATAAAGTGCACAACAAAATACCATAAAATACAGTGGAAGCAGGAGTACAATATAAAAAAATGACAGCAATAAATAAAGTGCACAACAAAATACCACAAAATACAGTGGAAGCAGGAATACAATACAGTGGTGCCCCACTAGATGATTACCCCGCAAAACGACGAATCCGCATGACAATGAGTTTTTGCGATTGCTACAGTGCTTCGCAAAACAGTGTTTCCTATGGGCGATTTTCGCTATACAATGTTTCGTTCCGTACTTTGCAAGACTTTTTCCCCCCAGGACCGATTTTCGCAAGATGATTGTCTGTGACTCGCAAAACGGGTATTTTCACAATACAGAACAGTTCAGCTTGATGGTCCTGGGCTTCACTTATCCGGAGAGCAAAGTAAGATTTTCTTATAGCCGTCACCTTGGCTAAATAAATATTTGACACAATTTTAGCAGCATTTACGTCGGCTGCCATCGGGACCCACCCCCAGGACCGATTTTCGCAAGATGATTGTCTGTGACTCGCAAAACGGGTATTTTCACAATACAGAACAGTTCAGCTTGATGGTCCTGGGCTTCACTTATCCGGAGAGCAAAGTAAGATTTTCTTATAGCCGTCACCTTGGCTAAATAAATATTTGACACAATTTTAGCAGCATTTACGTCGGCTGCCATCGGGACCTGTCTCCAAATGTCCTCTAGCCTCCTTCTATTATGCTTCAAGCCCCGCAGATGTTGGTTATATACCAAGCAGCTGGCCGGGGTCGAGAATGGACAGGGTATTTAGTAGCGATCATATCAGCCGCCCTGGTGGCTGCCACATACTATTCATCCAACAGTTTCGACAGGAGCACCCGCTAGATCAGCCGGTAATCCCCCGCATTGCATCTTGGAAAGCAACAGGATTCAATACCCTGCAGGGGCAGACCATCTTAATGGGTCCCTGCTCCCCATGGAGCAGGGACCCATTATGTCCAAGGAAGCCATGGCTTCCAAGAACTCAAGAGCTGGACCTGTGGTCCCAAACTCGGCATGGACACTGAATTCACCCAGAACAAGTAGTCAACTCTGGAGGACCTCAGATGAAGTCCGCCACTTATCACAGCACCAATCTCTCTTCTGTATGCGCATACGAATGTGTATAGGTGCATATATACATATGCACACCTGAGTATAGAAAAGGGGAAGTGGGAACAGAACTGCAGAACCAAGATGAGATGGACGTACAGGAGATGTCACCTTGGACAGCTTGGAGTTCCAGCAAATGGGAAATTAAAATTGTTCCACATGGCGTAAGGCTTTTTGAATACAAGCATCAATGTAAAGACTATACTGTACTATGTTAGTTCCTCATCAGTTTTGCCAAAAGGGGGAGTAGGCAAAGAAAGTGTTGTCTGTCTTATGATGCTTGAACTGCCCAGAGTGGCCTTGTAGCCAGAGGGGCATGTAAAAGTCAAATAAATAAATAAAGGGGATACAGGACAGGACTGCTTTCCAGAATCTTCTCTGGTCTCATTTTCGTTGACAGACTGGGCATCTTCTGTTTAATTTAATATTTTCAGATAGACTACAGCATTTGACAATTATAACCAGTTTGGGGCAAATGTACCATATTGTATGTTGTGGGTTAGCTTTGTGGCAAATGCATTATAGTAAAGTTATAAATACAACACAGCAGAAACTATTCCTTTTCTTTTGTGCCATTTGGATTTCTGTTCCTGAGTACAATACTTTGTTCCTGGTATAACCTTTTATAATGACTAGTGTTAATGCCGACATTCACTGGTGTAATAGCGGCCAGGCTTTCAGTACTGAAGTCCTTGGATTTTTTTTTTGAACAGCAGGCACAGTGACATCACTTGCCACCCCCTCTCAGGCTTCCTGCTTTCTTCTGAGCCAATTTGCAATTTCCATGGTTGGTGGAAGAAAAATTTATTTTTCCAGATGTGTCTTGTTACAAGCAACCCTGTTGTGATGCAAAATATACGCGGATGGGTTGGTCCTGAATGGGCAATTAAGTGCCACTCGCTTTACAAAAGAGCTGTTCCTCATTTGTTGGTATGCATTTATCCAGCTGCCTACATTTTGGACTAAATGAGGGAGGATGCTGGCTACATGGACGGTCCATGAATAAGCCTCTGAACATTTAAATTTAGCAGTACATCGGGCCTATAATGCCATGAGACATGATCTTATGAATGTACCTCAAAGCATGAATGCAAAAAATAGATTTTGGAGTACAATAAGAGAAAAATGGTTGAGGTGTATCATTATAGTTGTGTTAACATGTCTTGGACATTACTGTCTAGAAGAGGATGACATGTACTTAAATATATACATAAGCAAACCATGAGAATATAGCCCAAGCCATGAACATGAATTTGTATTCCACTAGTAAATTAGAGGCCTTGCTTCAAAATGACATCATCAAATCTGCTATTATCCCATTACAGTGCCTAGTTTAATTATCAACACTTTTCTGCAAACTGGAACATCTTAAATGTTAACTCTTTCACACTGATTTGAAAATACCTGTGCAGATTCACTGTCGAAAAGTTCCTTTTCTATGAGTTAGCACTACATAAATTCAAAGTTTTAAATTAAATGTAAATTGTGTGTGAGAGAGAAACATGTTCAGAACAAATTACTTTTCAAAATATACAGAAATATTAAGTTATGGCTTCCAGTGGAAGTCCACCCTTCTCCAGTTCAATCTGATTTTAAGAGCCAAAGGAGGGATGAGAAAAGAGCCTCGTGGCGCAGTGGTTAAAACGCTGTATTGCAGCTAAAACTATGCTCACGACCTGGGGTTCAAATCCCAGGTAGCCAGCTCAAGGTTGACTCAGCCTTCCATCCTTCCGAGGTCGGTAAAATGAGTACCCAGCTTGCTGGGGGGGGGGGCAATGGGTAGCCTGTATAATTAAAATTGTAAACCGCCCGGAGAGTGCTTGTAGCACTATGGGGCGGTATACAAGTACAAAAAAAAAATCGCTAGCACAATATTGTCCCACATGTTATTTGCTCTGAGCTGGAATCTACAATTGGCGGTATACAAGTCCAAAAAAAAAAAAAATTGCTAGCACAATATTATGTCCCATATGTTATTTGCTCTGGGCTGGAATCTACAATGAAAGTTGGTGCTCATTAAGTCCCACTGAATATGATGGAACTTGCATGCCACTGCAAACCTATACATGCTTAATAATAATAACTGAATGCCCTCAAATAACTTCCAATTTCTGGCCCTCCAATCTTTCTAGGGTTTCTAGGTATGCCCTAACATATCTGTTTGATTTTATTCCCTAGCAAATGTGTTTAGAATTGCAGACCATGCCGAGTAGCAGAAATATATGAAGATTGTTTGAAAAAAAGAAAAACTTACAAGCAAATGGGAACAACAAAACTTGGCCTACTTATTAGCTTAAAATAGAGTATTATGAAATGTTTTACAGCTTGATCTTGAATATATGATGTTTAGTGAGACAATCTGAATGCATCCTAACTGCTTTCAAGTAGACATTCTTTAAAAGGTGGAACATAGCACAACCCTACCTACCTTAAGCAGAAGATTTTACTTTGAAAAATGAAAAGCAATGATCTATCAAATCAGACCACCCAAAATCCACCCCACTATCTTTTATTGTTGCTGCGAAATCTGCATTACAGAGCAGACATCTCTGCAGCAGTTAAAAGGCTTTGGCAAGGCTCCCGCCTGAAATTAGACAAACTGAATATTTGGCAAGGGTAGGCTGGAGAAACTCTGAGGAAATGAAACTGTCAGAAGAAAAATGAGAGACAGAGGAAAGGAAAGTGAAAGTACTGTATGTTAAAGTCATGCCAAACTAAAGGCCGCATTATCATTACACTCTATTTTTTTAATGAGTGGAAAGAGCAATCTCAGAATGGAAAATACCACTATAATTCTCATGTAGATCAACATCATGACTAACCAAACTTCAGACAGCAATCATGTTTCGCCTAGCCAGACTAAAAATACGCAGTGGATTTAACTGATCCTCACAGAACTTTTGTTTCCAAAATCTCTGTTTACATTTCTTTTGACATGTTCTGACAATGTGAAGGAAATCATTATGACTCCACTACTCAAAAGGGGGAAATATTAAAATCCATATATATAGTAGAAATACCTTTACTCTGTGCCTCTTATGTGCCATCAAGTGGCATTCCTTCAACTCTGTAATATTCATTTAGCAATAATGTCAATTCACATCCTGATGGCAACCCTAATAAGGATTTAAAAGTGAGTGAGATATTTAAGGAGCAGTTTTACCAGTGCTGGTTTCCCCAGCTGTGTGGTACAGTGGATAAGAGTGAACTGCCAGGATGTAAACTGCACTGAGAGAATAAAAACATTTTGCAGAGGGTCTTACCTCACAGATGTAGATAAACTCAGGTACAAGCAATATGTACTGAATCACTGGCCTTTGTTTTGCCCCTAAGGCTTCCTTGGAAGAGCATTCAGCCCATTCTTACACAAATATCCGCCTAGAAAGCCATGTGGACCCCTTAGCCATTCTATTGTGCTTTTTTTTTTACTTCCCTGCCCTTTCACAAAATAGGGTAATCAGAAAGGATTAGCCAGATATGCAAGGCCAAACAGGGTTGAGAAAGAGGTGGCTAGAAGGTGAGGCTCAAGAGAGTCTAGTTCCTTTACAAAGCCACCCCAAGAATCTTATTAAAGAGATTTCATTCTTGGGTGGATTTACAATGTACCGTAGAGTATACACACTGCCTCTGTCCAGAGCTGCCTGCCTTCCCTCCTTATCCTTGTGCCACCTTCTGTACTCCAACCTCCGCTACCTCCTGGAATGTGAATGCATCTTTGCACACTTTACCTGGGCATTTCCCTAGAACCCTCTCGGCCTTCTGAGTTTGCTTCCTTCGTCTTACTATTTCCCCACAACACTTATGAAGCCAATGTAATAACCTTTGCATTTACTGTTTGCCATTTATGCATCTCTACTGTAAACACTTCAATTCTCCAGTGCACACACTGTGTAGTTTACATTCCTGTGGGTTCAGTAAAAATTGCATGTTGAATAAGTCTGTGAGAATATGATTTAGTCAATTCATTTTAAGTACTCAGTAGTGCCAAAGCTCTAAGATCTATGGACAAGTTCATAAACGTGCTCTGAGCATATCAGGTAAGAGTAGATGGCAACAGGACTCCCAATCCAACATGCAAATATTAGGGAGAGTGACCCTACCCATTGATATAATTTAACTGTGCCTGCATTGAGTTTATTCCACCTTATAATTTGGTCAAAGGAGCGCTTGGAAAAGATACCTCTTTGAAAGACATTTCCCAAAGTCCACAATCAGCACAACTATCGGTGGAATTCTGAGAGTTATCTTCTTAAAAAGTAACTTTTCCAAGTTTGGGGAGGAAATGCTTCTATTGATCTTAATTTTTCAAATATGTGAGAGTATTTCACATAATTGTTAATGCAGACACTACTGCATAATTGAGGGTTGCTTTACACAACAGAAAAGAATGTTCCTTTGCAAGCTTGACAGCAGTGAGTTGAGTGTCTGGTTGCACAGCCAGAGGTGGGGACTTTGATTTCCCTCAGTGCCTCCCAGGACAAGAACCAGCCTGTGTAGTCTTAAACAAGTTACATATTCTCACCTCCAGACCCCAGAGGAGAAGGGAAGGGTAAATCACTTCTGAGTACTGTAAGATGTGTCTGAAAAATCCTAGAAAGTGTTGCCATTAAGTGGAATCTACTCAGCAGTACATAATTATTATTCTTGCATTGAAAGCAGAAGCTTGTAGAAAGGAGAAAAAAAGTCTGAAGTTACAAACTCTGACAGCATGCCCACTGAAGTCAGAAATGCTTGATAAAGACCATGACTGATGAACAAGAGAATCAACTGACTAATCCTTACAAAGCTTCACATTCTTTTCAAGAAGAGGAAGGGGAAACATGCTTGTAAGTACAGCTCATGTTCTTTTCCTCCTTTCATTCATTCTCCTTTAAAGAGAATTAAAGGAGAATTAAAAGAGACTATTCAGAAATAAACAGGATGCACGGAGCTCCAGACCATGACAATTACGGTACACTAACTCAAAATGTGTACCAATTAGTTTTTCACATAGCTGACATACGCGTATGAAGTCAGAAGACACAAAATTCAAATGAAATGCAACTTTAATCAACCTGGAAAAAAGAATCCTAATCCAGACCCATGACATATATACCAAGTAGTGAGACAAAACATCTTCCTGCCTTTTAGCTAAACACCCTGCTAAAATATTGCTGATACTGCTCTGTTGCTTTAATCCCACCTTTGCAGATCAGAATAAATCTGCCATAGAGAACTGTATTTCCTGATTACTCTCCGTTAATTATCTACAGAAGGAAAAACTGTTCTTTCATTAGACCAACAGCATGTTGATCAGCTTTCTCATTAAAGCAGGGATTATACCATGTCCATTACACCAGTCCTCAGCACAAAGTCATACACTTTAATACCCATCACCAACTTCCTTAAGGCCACCAATGTCAATGAATTTTCACAACTTCTAATGTTTGGGTTTCAGATAGGCGAATGCTGCTCAGAAAAAATGGTGTTGCATGGAGAAAATTGCTTCCTAGCATACCACTCTGTGAAAATGTGCATCTAATCTTTGTGAATAAAGCTTGGAAAAGTAAACTCAAGAAACAAGACCCTAGTGCCGCCTCCTCACCACTACCAAATCTAATCAATGGATTCAATGAAGCTCAATTTCTGACAAATACCTTGAGGAAAACAATCGCACTACTCCTAACAAGATGTAAATCAGACATTTTTTCAAAAAGCAAACATTAGCATTTAACTTGTGAAGATGCAGAAGCTCTGGTGCCCATAATTCATGATTCAGCTCAGTCCAGAGACTAAGAGACGTGGAGATCTGATCTCCTCATCAGGACAGGTTTCTAGGCTTTAAGAAGAGAAGCACTAGCTCCCTTTGTGTTATTTAATGAGATGAGTGCATAAGAGAACAGAAGGCTGCTCTAGGATTTGGAGAACCTTAAGACCCCAGGGTCAGCTTGAGGCTACTGAAGCCACTTGAAACAAAATACCTTTGTAAGAAGTGTATCATGGCTTGAGCCTGCACAAGTAATGTTTTACTTTGAAATTTTGTAAAGCAGGCCAATTTTGCACCTATGTTTCATCAATTAGCCCATACAGATTGCTTGGTCACATGCCATCAGAGATTATCCAGGGAAAGGAAATTTAGCTTCACATAGTCAGGATGAACCAAGGCTGAAGTTATTCTTCCTTCAACCATGAAGAATGGGGCAGACAACAATATCAAGATGCACAAAACTCAAAAATGATTTCACATGGTACCTAATCAATTCTATTGCACAAGATGGTGCAAAATCCATTAACATAAATGGCTTAAGGAAGAAGATTGGGCTCAATATACACATTGAAGACAGGCCTGTCTGCACCAAACTTCACATCACTGATGATAGTGATTATTATCAGGAAAGGGAGTTTGCCTATTGTCTTACCCTAGCCAAGACATCTGAATTGCCACTGGCATTGACAGAATGCAGAGCTACTGGAAAGCTGGTCCAACCAAACATGACTGCTCTTGAGTTCTCTTTGGCCAAATCATCTGAGTCAGATCAAGCAAGTTCCAAAGCAATTCACATTCTGCTTTGGATTTCTATTTGAGCAGCTGCTTTGTGAAGCTTCTCACCAAAAGTTACTGGTTGCTGATAAAATATGTCTTCTCTATATAGCCTTAAAAATCAAGAGGCCAATGCCAAAGCATTAGGATTAAACTAATTGTTTCCCAACAATTTAGGATTTCACAACTTTCTTAAAATGGGGCAAGATTGCCCCTAGTGATTCGAGACAGAGGAACATAGAGGATGCACTTGTTATTGTTTTGTATATTACTAATGAACAACTAGCAATGTTTTCCCCTTAAAAGTTATCAGATATATACCAAAGCACATCACTCAGGTCTTTGACTATAGGATTATCAGTTCTGGGATTTCTGATCCTCCGGCAGCATGACTTTAACAGTACCCTCCATTACAGTCTTGCCACTTTGAACGGCTACACATGACACTGAAATATAAGCAAGACATCTCTTCAGTTTCTTCACTTCTGCTGAAGCCAAGACCTCTTCGCCAACATACAACGGGGCAGGAAATTTAATTTCCTGAGAAAGGAAAACACAGCCGTACCCTGGCATTTTGGTGCCCAGAAGAGCCGAGATGAGTCCGTTGATCAAAACACCATGTACCACCGTTCTCCCAAATTGTGTCCTCTTTGCATAGTCTTCATCCAGGTGCAATGGGTTTGTGTCCCCTGTTAAGGCAGAAAAGGTAAAAACATCCTTCGGTGTAAACGTCTTTTTCAGTTCAGCCTTGGCTCCAACTTGCACATGTAAATGCACAACAGAGAGTGGAGTCAGGAATGCACTGGCGACTCTTGGCTTTGTCAGGAACATCCTCAGGAGACCAGCGTTACAAAAACTAAATCTCAGCAATGGCATCAGCATCTTGGACAGCTCCCAAGCCTGAGTCAATGGCCTTTTTTCTGCATCCCTAATCAAGCACCAGCGCTCTGCTGTTTCCGGCTAATGCAAGAAGAAATGGAGAGGTCTATGGAAAAAGAATATGTAGTTTAGGAGAAGAACAGACAAGCTGATGGCAGCCAAAGCAATTCCTTCTGCACAGAGCAATATTTGAGCAACCCAGGTCTCTGAATGGCAATTTGTTTAATTCGGTTACACACCAAATTTAATAAATGTAAATCTATGTAATGATGGTGGTTAGATGGCGAAATTGAAGCCTTTTCACAAAAATGGAGGAAAAGGACCTGCACTCACCACAGTGGCCCAGCATATGACAAGGGAAAGATAAATAAGGGGTTTATATATTTATGCGTTACCTCAGTTTCTATCGCACCTATTCTAACTGACCTAGGAACCCAAAACAAATAAAAAGATACAGAAGTACAGTATCATATGAACACAATTTTAAAAATAAGGTTGTATCAGGAAAGAAGGAAAATGACTTCAAGAGGCCACACAGGTCCTATTTTTTAAGCAACTTTAAATACAGAAGATCTTGCCTAATGTGATCACAGTATGACACTCTCATTGCTACCATCTGGATATTTTAGGGTAACAGTCAAGCCTATTGAACAAATAAGGGCATTAGAGTACAGATCTTCTACTTTGATCAATCAATCACAGAGGAAACAGTGAAATGCAATTAACCAAACAGCATGAAGCAGGGCACAAATGAATCAGTATTAACTTGTGATGCAAACAATCAACGTTCCCTCTAAGCTGTGTGGCTGCACAACAGAGCCAGTATTGCTGACCATTTGTTTCCAGTCATGGCCAGAACCCCATGTGCTAATGGAAAATTAAAGGGAATGTTGCAAGCAGTGTATCAACTACTCCACTGAAAAGTTAACTGTTGCTGCTTAGAACTGCAAACAGCAAGGGAAAATCAAAACAGGTATAGAATTTGAAATGTCTTTCAATAATTTGACTATGAAAAAGCAATCATATTATTCTGGAACATCACTACACTAGAAATTTCTTATTTACACTTGTTGAGATTTTGATATGAAAATGTATTAAATATTAATGTTGTATAGCTAAATGTAAAATGGCTGATTTTACCTGAGTCACTGTACTGATTGTATTCAGGTGTGGGTATCAAGGATTAAGACTTAATGTTGTGCAGCTGTGGAACATGATGAAACTTTGTATAACAGAAAAGGAAATAATGTATTTTCTGATTGGTCACAGAACTGTACAGAAGTCATGTGGAAAATGAACGTCTTTATCTGCTGTAAGTCAGATCCCTTTTTCCTATGATGTGTGTTGCTTCATGTCATGTTATGCTGCCAGAGGAACGTCTATTCTCTCTGTATATATGTAAATAGACTAAGTTGTCGGTTTTACTCTCTCAGTGTCATAGTGTCATAAGTATCTCTGCTAACCACTTTCTCCCTTACTCTGATGATGTTATGAGAATACACGTTATAATCAAAATTCTCAACAACACTATGATCGTATATTATTCTGGCCTCTCATCAAGGCATGCACAGAATCACTATCCCAACTAAAATATACTATGTGTAAAGCACAAATAAAAATATAGACTCTGAAGTGGGAAGATATTCCACACATAAATATTCCTTTAGTTGCCACCCTATTCCTGATTATTTTAGAGTAAGAGGGCCTACACACCGTAAACTAAGCATGCATAGGATTGTATTTTTTTTAATTCTTACCTGTGTCACCCTGTATTTTTTTTAAAAAAAATTCTTACCTGTGTCACCCTAAAAGCACACTGTCTGCTCTGGTAGGAACCAAACAGCATCAAAGCACTCCACAGTTTTACCAAGCCCCTGTGCAAATGGCAGAATTAGGACAATAAATGAAAACTCAAGGGCTCAAGTAAAAGAAGAGGCAACATACTGGCGAGCAGCAATATATGATGGATAAACTGCAGGTGAATATTAAAACCAAGCCTCATTCACTGAATGTTAAGATTCACATGCCTAAGCTACTATAATTGACCAACATGTCTTTTATGAGGTGCATGTGTTATGATGGCCAGCAAACCTCTTTTTTTTCCCTGAGGGTGCAATGCTAACATTGCCTCAGTGTGACAATCTCTTTTCCAATATCTACTGCAGATTGTGAGAGACTACCCTAAACACAGCTGGAAAATCTAACCATCTTGTTAAACTTAGAATTTATTTATTTGCTGTTAGTCCAGACTGTCTCATCGCAGGATTTTTGAGACAGCAAACATCCAAAAGTGATTTACTATTGCCGTCTTCTGAGAAATACAAGAGCTTACTTGAATATCATTGCCATTATACTATGAAAGATCTTTCAAGCATGTCACCTTCCCCTACTGTTGCCTTCAAGAATCTCTCCATCCCTATTACCACTGGAACTATCAGTCCTCTTCTTCTGACGTGGCTGTTAATTCCTCAACAGGATGTGTGCATCTTAGCCTGAATTCTCAATTATGACCATTCTACTTTGGATGATCCAGCTAGGAATCTAGACTTGTAATATAGTCAAGCCTTCTGACAGTATTGCTTTCAGTTCTCCTGCCATGGTCAAATTCCCTCACCACTTGAAGGGGTATACACAGGAAGTGGTCTAGAACAGTGGTTCTTAACCTTTGTTACTCGGATGCTTTTGAACTGCAACTCCCAGAAACCCCAGTCAGGATAGCTGGTGGTGAAGGCTTCTGGGAGTTGCAGTCCAAAACTCCTGAGTAACCCAAGGTTAAGAACCAGTGGTCTAGGAAAACATGAAGCAAGTAGAAAAAAAGGAAGACCAACCATGAGAGAGATTGATTCAGTAAAAAAAGCTACGGGCTTTAGTTTGCAAGACCTGAGCAAGGCTGTTAATCAAGTAATTTTCTGGAAGTCATGAATACATAAGTTGTTGGAAGTTAAGACAGCACATAATAACAGCACACTGTAAGCCTGCTGTCAGTATTTGGAACAGGCATTTTCCCAATCCTGAACTCAGGAAGACCGGCAGGGCAATCATTTGCAGAGGAAAATCCATGTACCTAAGCCAATACTAGCTGATACTTAGCTAAACAAGTGACAACCATGCCATATACAGTGGTGCCTCGGTTAACAATGAAATCGCTTGACGATTAGGTTTTTGCGATCGCAAAAGCGACTGCAAAATGATATTTTAAATGGGCTTTTTTTGCTTCCTGACGATTGGTTCCCTGCTTCGGGAACTGATTTTCTCATTATGAAGATCTAAAAACAGCTCATCATCGGGTTTCAAAATGGTCCCCCGCTGTTTTCTAGGACAGACAGCAAAAATGGCCGCCCCTATGAAGGATCTTTGCTGGACGGTGAGTTTTCAGCCCATTGGAACGCACTGAAGGGTTTTCAATGTGTTTCAATTGGCTTTTTTATTTCACTTAACAACGATTTCATTCTACAGCAATTTCGCTGGAACGGATTATCCTCGTTAAGCGAGGCACCACTGTATATCAATGATGCTACTGACACCTTGTTCAACTATAAAGAGAATTCTCTTCATTTGAATCATTACAGAGTCTTGCTTTTATCAAACGGTCCTTACTATGAATGTCAGTATAGCTTAATGTTTCTTACCTAGTCGGTACTCTCAGTATTGCAGACAAAGTTTTTTCCTCATATGCCAACACATCAACTGGCAAAGCTGCTCCAACCTACAAGGAAATGTACCAGGGGTTATCAGTGCTTTAAAGAAATAAGGAAAATTCTCCACAGTTCAATTGTAATCCCACCATCACCAATTTAATGCTGTTATTTCAGCATGGAAGGAGACATTGTTACTTTGTTTAACACAGGACCTACATGTTCATAACAATTTCATATAAGTAGATATAAACAGGGAACAGTAACGAGACAGGGGATGTGTCTCATACAACTTACATATATTTTCACTCTTCACCTGTCCTATCCCCTTCTCTTGCCACCACTGCAATGCTCGAGTCCCTTAAAGCTAGGAAGAGCCACAATACCTCCATTAAGAGAAACTGAAGTGCTGGCTCTGGCAGCTAAATGTTGTCTCCCCTGGGACTAACAGCAAAGAGAGCAGTATTACTAAAGAAGCAATACTTCTCCTTCACTGGAATCCAAGTAACAACCTTACTATGATTAACTCCCTGAGAATATAAGTAAATCAGAGATGGAAAAGAATTTAAGAGTTAAGTCTTACGATATTGACAAAGTTAAGGAAATATAAGATTTTTAAAGAAAAGAGAAAAGCAAAGGCCAAAATGTGGCAGCACCTCAAGGACTAACAGACTTGCTTCAGTGTGACCTTTCATGGATCCAAATCTACTTTGTCAAACACAAGAAATGTTCATGCATGCCATCTGTATTTATACATCCCCTCCCCATGTTGACAGGATCATGACCTGTTACTTACTTAAAATCATAAGCTACAGCCAGGAGAACTGTATGACAGACAAACCTATCTGGCAGACACAGAAACCCTAAGAATTGTATCTCAAGTGAGATAGCTATTATATATGCATATGTTGCTGCAGAAAACTGGTTTAATATGTGTAGTACACTAAGACTTAATATTTATTTAGGTTCTTAGTGATACATTGGAATTTGTTTACATAGCTTTCTTCTGTTGTCTCTTTATTAATTGTAATTTCAATTTTTACACCACTTGTGATCCTTAACAGATAGGATACAATTCTGATCCACAAAAGCTCCCACTGAAGCAAATCTGTTGTCTTCAAGGTGCTACAACATTTTGTGCTTTGTCTCTCACCCCCAGTCCCATATTTAATTTAATACACAGCTACCTCTTTGGAAACTATCTCTTGATCAACCACAGCTAACAATAACATACCTCCCCATGCAGCCGTTTCAGAGCAGAGATGATAAGTTGTTTGAATTCAACAGCGTTCAGGATAACATCAGATTCTTGGAACTCTCTAAAATTAATTTTCTGCATTAAGACTTTGTAGTAAATCTCATTTATCACAAAAACAATATGCTATAAGTATTACTCCAAAATTAAGTGTGTAAGAGGGAATTAAATCACTTTGCAACTTGAACTTACAGGTGGATCTTCATATAATGGTATTCAGATGCATTCTTCAAAACTATCCTTTCATAGGAAGAAGGCTGAGAGCCTTTATTTCCATCACCAAGTTCAATCATCTTAGTAACCTGAATTCTAAAATGGAAAATAGTCTGTCATAGGATATCACTAAGCTCTGTACTCATGATCATACACTATACGTACAAATGTAACTTGTGTTTTCAGATATGTCTGCAAAAGAGTGTACCATATATATCTAATACCAGATTTGCATTTCCTTAATTTACTAGCCAATGGAGTATCAGTTCTCACTGAATAAAATTCTATTCATTTGGAAGCACACATCTGAGACTTCTAAATAGCCGTCCACCAATTAAGAGTCATCTATATTAGACACTGCCAAGCAAAGCCATCTTCCAGAATGTGGGAGAGAAACCTCCAGCATTCTCAAGTTCACCTTTTGGATCATTAGCGAAAAGAATGAAGGAGAACCTGAAGCAAGAGGCCCTGCTTGCAGCCTCTTACACTACCCTCTACACATGTTTTTTTAAGTTTTAGTCCACAAATAATTTAATACTGCCATGAACTGAAAGGTGGACAAATATCAGCTAGTAACTTTTATTATCAACTGACAAAATCAAGTTTGAGCTATAAATCAGGAAGTCTCCCTCTCCCATTAACTTACTGAACATTTCTTAAGGACTCGACTCTCAGATTTTGTTCAACCTCTGCAACACAGGAGATTACAAAACCCATTTACTTTAGAAGTTCTTGTAAGGCCACATATAGTAATTCAATATGTGGCCTTACAAGAACCACATACAGTATTCTGTACAGTATTTGGTTCAATATTCAGTATTTGAAAACTATAAAAATGTTAGACATTATTGTAACATCCAAACATGTTCAGTGAGAGACAGAAACCACTGATCTATTTGGAATGAAATACAGAGCAGCTCTCAACCTTTCGACCTCCAATTTTGGACTTAATCTCCCAAAAACCTACACCAATGTTGCAAATAGTGGGAAGTTCTGGGAACTGGGCATGCAAAACATCTAGGCAACCACAATCAGAGAATCCCTGGTACAGAGAACTGCAGACTATCCAGTTTCCTGATCAACAATTTAATTCCATACTATTATTACATGACAATAACGCATTATTACTATAGTGGCCATGCTGTAAAAGTCAGAATATAGATAGCTTGGAACAGCTTAAGACGAAGTGTGAAATATTCAACAAAACTTAAAACTGGCTTTGAAGAACATCCATTGAACAACAAAAAAAAACCCTGCAGAAATCTAGGCGGTCAGGTAAAGAAATGAAAGCACGGATTATTTACAAGTGTTAATTCAAGGAAAGGCACATAGGGTGAAACGCGCAGGAGCCAGAAGAACGGACTGCCGAAGATCTCAGAGATCCGGTTTGAATACAGCATAACACCATCGTTTTGTGGTGCTGCATCCAAAGTGCTTGGGTAACAGCCTATCCTCCATATTACCTTACCCGGGCTTCATGCTCTGGAGAGGACACTCCTCGATTCAGAGCATGTTACCACAGTCTCTCGAGACTGAAGGATGCCTATGCTATCCAAAGTCAGAATATCCGCTCTAACGTCCAATATCCGGAAGAGATGAAGGGTAATTTGTTATCACCGATGACTGTGACCGAGCTTTTTATTTCCACACAGCGCCATGTTAAACCAGAGGCATAATTTGAAGTTCTGTCGTAAATTTGAGCGAGACCCAAAAATTCAGGGTCTCGCTCAAATTTACGACAGAACTTGATCCAGTTGACCAAGAAGTGGGAAATGTGACCGAATCCTTCTAACTGGAAAGTCAAAGCAAATATGCGTTCACCTCTCACGACAAACACGTACTCGCTCCCCCTCCTGTTCTACAAGACACGCGACCCAATCCCAAAGCACAACAACCTCCAGTTCCCACGACTCACACGTGCCCCGTTCCGCCCAGGATCAGAAAGGACCCCACGGGCGGAACTTCCGCCCAGAGCTCTAGCCAATCAGCGAGCTCCATCGCCTCCTGGTGCCCAAAGGAAGTAGCCGGTTGCTATGGCAGCCACCCAACGACCTGCTCAGGGAAGGAGGGGCGGGAGATGTAAACAACACGATTGGCCAAGCGGAGGACAAGCCTGGGAACAGGATTGGTCAGAACCTGCAGGACGTTAGAGGGTGGCTTTTAATGACAGCCGCCAATAGGCTCAAGCTCTGTTGAGGAGGGGTTCTTTCATTTTGTTTTTATTCTCGGGGTCTCGGCAGTCGCAATGTTGTGACCCTTGCGTTGGTGGCGGCGGGGGGGGGGTTTGCTACGGTGGCAATTGAGGTGGGGTTGTATTGTTGTCGAGTGAGTTTTCAGATGGAGCGCACGCGACTTGGGCACATTTGCGACATTTCCCAGAAGTCCCTAGAGAACCTTACTAACTCGGGAATTCTAGGAGTTGTAGGCTTATTCCCTCCTCCCCCCCCCACCCGGAAACTTGCTCACCTCTACATAGAATAGGTATAGACCTGGATCCTCTTAGCTTCCCTACGCAAATAGACGCAAGGTGTAGTTGAAGGATGTGTCCCTGAAGAACAAGATCAGCCACACTATTGTATTCCCAATCACTATGTACAGGTGTGAAAGCTGAACAATTAAAAAAATGTTTATTTGAAATATAGTGCTGGAGGAGTGCTTTTTGCAGATACCCTAGAGTGCCATAAGGACAAACAAGTGAGTCTGTAGAGGGGGAAATGTTGAAACTGAAACTGTCCCACTTTGGGCACATCATGAGAAGACAGGATTATCTGGAAAAGAAAATTGCTGGGAATGATGGATGGCAGCAGGAAAAGAGGAAGCCCAAATAGGAGATGGATTGGACTCCGTAAAGGAAGCTATAACCTTGAGCTTGCAAGAGCTGAGTAGGGCAGTTGAAGACAGATCACTCGTTCATAGGGTCACCATAACTCTGAGACCACTTGACATGTAATAACAAAGTGGTTGAAAGGAACAATTCATTTACAAAACCGGGACACATTAATAAAGCCTACTAAACTGGTGGATAGGCAGCATTCAGTTTTCAGGTGAATTTGTATCTTTAACCTTTTCTTGACGTCTCTTTCAACATATTTACACCACCCTTCCTCCTTCTTAAAAACTACTTATCTTTAGCTCCACATTCTCCCTCTCCACCATTGTTACTCTCACTCAGATTGACTATAGTTGTCTCGCCTCCTCCTTAACTGTCCATAGCATTCCAAAAGCTGTAGTAGGCTGAGCCAAAGAGACAGTGGGCTCCATCACAGAGGTTGTCCACATATAGTTATAGTATATGGTTCCCTGATAGCACTGTTTGCACAGAAAAAAAGATATTGTCGGTTTGTGTTTCGACGTAAAGCAAGCCATCCTTCCCCTTTAATAACTGGACCATGTTTTACTGGCACAGGGCTAGGGCATGCAATCTTTTTGGGACAATTCACTGAGATACGCAATAGCTCTTTGTTCTGCCGTCATGGATGGGTACCAAGAATTAATAAAATAGTCTGCACAGAAGATAAGGACTTTTTAAGCACTGGCTGGATTACGCCAAATTTCACAGTGTGGACAGGCCTATAATAACCTAACAGTTCTCAATTTCATTTCCCTAAGTGGGAATGTGCATCTATATTCCTTGAAAAACAAAGGAGGGAGGGAAGGATGGAAAATGTTCATAAATTATATTCAGTGGTTGGGCAGGAGAGGGAAGGGTCCTGGCTCCCCTCCTCAACTGGATTTAGTTTTAACATAAGAAGGAAGAGAGAAGACAACATGTGAAAAGCTAGCCATACTGAGTGACAAGAATGAACTACCTGTAATACCGAAGCAGAAACAAACCAGATATGACATCTAGTGTACAGTTGAGAGACCTGCAGACAGTTATGGCTTCTTCTGTGAGTGCATGTTGAAACACTGTGTGTCACATTCACTCTTTAGATCAGAGTTGGAAAACATGGCCATCCGCATGTTGTTGGATTGCAACCTCCATCTGACCTAGCCAGCATACCTAATCTGATGGATGATATGAACTGCAGTTTGAAAACATCTGAAAGGCCACCCTGGCTTTAGATTTTTAGCTATGTGACAACATTTGTTGTTGCTATGAGCCATCAAGTTACCCATGACTTATGGTGACACCATGAATGAGCAATGTATAAAGTATCCTCTCCTCAAGAGCCCTGCTCAGCTCTTGCAACCTCAAGACTGTGGTGTCTTCTAGTGAGCCAATCCATCCCATATTTGGTCTTCCTCTTGCTGCCTTCAACCTCTACCATCTTTATTGTCTTTTCCAGAGAATCCTGTCGTCTCATTATGTGACCAAAGTAGGACAGCCTCATATATTTGAAAAAAATCTCAGCTGTGCATCTAAATCATGTTAACCAACCTCTATAGCAGAATGAAGAGATGAAAAGGTTAAAGAAAAATGAGAAGGGTCAGACTAGATGTGGTGAACATGGGGAGGTTACACATTTGAATTGAATAAAGAAGCCAGAAAGAAAATAGGTGAAAAGGAAGAGAAAATTCTGTCATTTGAGAGACAACAGTAAACTGACAAACAAGAAAGTTGAGGTGTACATTTAAGTTTCTTGAGAAAGCATGAGGAGGGGCTCTAAAAGACCAGTAGTAATAAGCAAGGCAGGATATAATAACTTTGGCTATATTGCAGTAAAGTTTGAAGGAAAGAAAGAGATCTTATGGTGCAAGGACAAGAGAATATAAAATGATAAGTTACTTTATTTAGAAAAAGAGCACAGAGTTGACGGTGATGGCCCCTAAGCAGCACAAAAGATTGAGGGAAGAATGAAATATTAGCTTGCCCAAGAGTAACAGGCATAGGTTTCATCCACGCTCAAAACAATATAAAGGAGAAAAGTTCTCAAAATGCCTGTATATATTTGTTGAAAATTTACCCAATATTCCTTGGGCAAATTGACTAAAAACTGATGCACTCTGGAACACTATGTAGAAACACTATGAGGAGCCTCATGGAACAGTCATTAAACTGCAGTACTGCAGCCAAAACCGCTCACTATCCAGGTTCAATCCCAGGTAGCTGACTTGAGGTTCACTTAGCCTTCCATCCTTCTGAAATTGGTAAATTGAGTATCCAGCTTCCAGGGAGGGGGTCGGCAATACATAGTCTGCTACGTAGTCAATTAAATTGAAAACCACCCTGAGAGTGTTTTAAGTGCTATGGAGTGGTAGAAAAGCAGCACACTTTTCTTTTTGCTTTTGTCCATCCTTAGATCTAAAAGTTACAGATTCAGGAGTCAGTGCTGTATATTGGCATCCTATAGATAGCAGCTCATGCCAGTGGAGTATGGATCATAATGCCAACTCAGGAAGTGTAGGAGGTGAAGCTCTAACACTTGCCAGATGAGGGCTCCAAGAGACAGAAGAAAGGCAGGTTCCAAGGATTAACAAGGTCTCTGATTAAGTAAAGCCAGAAAAGGGTGTTATAGCACAAAAACTGTGAGAGACTTCAAAGATACAAAAGAGCCATGGGTATCTATCGAAAGGGACAGAGAAGTGGCACAGACAAGTGTGGCTGTTTCATTGGAATAATCTACCTATGCCAAGGAGTTTACAAAACCCAACTACTTTCCATTGAAATTAGGCTACTGGACTAAGGTAGCTTTCTGTCATCATTCATACGCTGATTGATATAATATGTGGATTTCGAGCTAATAGATCCACCACTGACATGGTGTTCTCCCTCTGACAGTTGCAGGAGAAATGCAGGGAACAACAGCCACTCTTAGTGGCCTTCATAGACCTTACAAAAACATTTGACTTGGTTAGCAGGGATGGCCTTTTTAAAATACTTCCCAAGATTGGACGTCCACCCCGTCTCCTTAACATCATCAGGTCCTTCCATGATGGAATGAAAGGCACTGTAGTTTTTGATGGCTCAACATCAGATCCCTTTGACATCCGAAGCGGAGTGAAACAGGGCTGTGTCCTCGCACCAACCCTTTTTGGGATCTTTTTTGCCGTCATGCTGAAGCATGCCTTTGGAATTGCAACAGAAGGTGTCTATCTCCTGACTAGATCAGACGGAAAGCTCTTTAATCTCTCTAGATTGAGAGCAAAGACCAAAGTCCAACTGAAATGCATGCGGGACTTCCTCTTCACAGATGATGCAACCATTGTTGCCCACTCTGCTGAAGACCTCCAACAACTCATGAATCGTTTCAGCAAGGCCTGCCAAGACTTTGGACTAACAATCAGCCTGAAGAAAACACAAGTCATGGGCCAGGGCGTGGATTCACCTCCCTCTATTACCATCTCCACACAAGAATTGGAGGTTGTTCATGACTTTGTGTACCTTGGCTCAACAATCTCAGACACTCTCTCCCTAGATGTCAAGCTGGATAAACGCATTGGGAAAGCAGCTACCATGTTATCTAGACTCACAAAGAGAGTATGGCTCAATAAGAAGCTGAAGGCACATACCAAGATCCAGGTCTATAGAGCCTATGTCCTGAGCACACTCCTGTACTGCAGTGAGTCCTGGACCCTTTGTGCATGACAGGAGAGGAAGCTGAACACCTTCCATATGCGTTGCCTCCGACGGTTTTTGCTATCACCTGGCAGGACAAAGTTCCAAATAAAGTAGTTCTAGAATGAGCTGGAATTTTCAGCATGCATACATTACTGAAACAGCAACGTCTATGTTGGCTTGGGCACGTCGTGAGAATGGCTGATGGTCGGATTCCAAAGGATCTCCTGTATGGAGAATTAGTGCAGGGAAATCGCCCCAGAG